GTAAACTTTTCATAAACGCGCCTGAATAGGTTGTGCGCACAATAGACATAGTGATGTGCTAAGACAAACAACAAAACAGATAACTTGATGAAATATCTAGATCGGAGGAACAGGTAGCCCAGATATTCAAGCAGGCCGCCGGTTCATTCGAGCATCCTCTGTACAGCTCCGCTTAACGTGGTACCGAGGAGGAGTCCGGATTCGCGACTTCGTGCTGAATAACTTTACCTGATCGTTACCCGAGACCCATTTGCAAGATTTGTTGCTTGCGTTTCATCCAAAACAATGGTTTTCTAAAATCGACCTTATGCGAGCATGCCGGAAGACTGCACTAGTGTCCAATGGATAAACTTAGTAATATACCGTCTCTGGGTCGAACGGAGTAATCTGTGACTGAATTGTTATAGGTTGTTTTTAGTCAATCTGTTGAAAGAGCCACTATTCTGTAGTATCACGCGTTAAAGTTCAAAATATCATAGAGCAGGTGCATTGTGATGTCAGCCACTCGGAAAAACGAAAAACCGAACATTGCATTCGCCAGAGATTTGTTTGATCATCCATCCACGATGATGTTTTGAAAGGATAATTTAAAGAATTTTGGAAAAGTTAAAACTTGCTACACCAAAAAGTCACTCCGTTAACCTTAATGATAACAGCTGGGCCATATATGCGAGTTGGCATCGATATTGTGGGGCCGTTTCGACGACGCGTATCTCCGAGTCAAAACCAATCTACAGAATGCCAACAAACACCAGAATAACATGTACGACAGACGACTGAACAGGCCGGTGTATAAACGTGAAGATCGTGTTTGGCAGCAACGCCCTGATGCTTCACAAGGGACTTTGAGCAAGTTCCACCATTCTTGGTAAGATTCTTTCGAGACTGTGTTTATCTGATCTCCTTTTAACTTTGTCTTTCTTAACCTTTAGCGGCCTCAGGACGACGTCAGAATGATACGTTGTAACCAGTTGAAACCAGAACAAATGGCGGCGCACTTAGATACCCAGTTTGCCGAATAATAGCCTGTTTTTAGCACAGTTAAACAAAGAGCACATTAAACAGTCACTGGTACAATTGATCACAATAATAATTTTTTCAATAAACCAATCGTGTTCTCGTGATAAAAGTGAGTCGCTACAATACCATGAACAGTGCTTCATGGAGAGAGGTTGTTGTGACAATATTAAATGGTATTATATTTAGTTTTAGTAAAGTGAATCTTTTAACGAGGCTATAATTTATGGACGAACCAATGTGGATGCTACGACTGATGGAATATGGATGACACGGAAACGCAGAAGATTTGGAAAGACAGCTAAAACTAATGGCCGTTTACTTGATAAGTCCTTGGTGGACTCTCGGACCACTCCGCCAAAGTCCCGTAGTAAAGCTTCGTCTAACATTGTTGTGTCACTCGCTCGACTCCCAGGACTCTGTTACAATAAAAACTAATCTTAAGACACAAGTAGTTAAAATACAGGATCTAACGTCACGGTCGAAAGCTGTGAACACAGTTTCAAAAGAAGCTAAACCCCTCCCTAGTTTAATTATTTGGAATCTAGAGGAGTCGAAAGACAACGACCCTGCTAGAAGACATGCACATGACCTGCAGTTAGTGGAGTCTGTGGTAAGGAATTTACTACTTGAAGAGGTTTCAGGGGTACATATTAGAAAAGTAATACGACTTGGTAAATGGGTTGGAGGCGAGACCCAACCAAGAAGAATCCTGAAGCTGGTTCTCGGGAGTTTTGAAGAAAGAGACATATTATTGAAAAGCGCACTAAAAACTCGTGCCTCAAATATCCGTATTCGACCAGATTGGCCGCCTGAGGATCGAATAAAGTGGAAGAATGCTCTTACGGAGTTGAGGACTCGCAAATTAAATGGCGAAAATAACCTTACCATTAAGGGTTTTCGGGTAGTCAGGTCTTGGAAGCCCATGCTTCCGAGGCCTGTATGGGTAGAACGATTGATTGCCAAAACACCTTAAGTGTGTGCTACACGAACGCTCGTAGTCTTAGAAATAAAACGTCCGAGCTAAGTCTGATGTTGCGAGAAACATGTCCCGATATAATCGTTGTTACTGAAACTTGGTTCACCGTTGATATAAACTGTTCTCCTTTAATTGCTGGTTATATCTGTATCAGAAGTGATAGTTTCAAGTCGCAAAGGGGGAGGTATAATATTATACGTTAGGGATCACTTTCGTATACAATCAACCATATCGGAGGCTCATATCAATCGCACATGTGAGGTTGCACGTTGTAAGATTAAATCTAGAAATGGGTTAGTGACTATAAGGTAAATATACCGTAGTCCGTCTTGTCTTGGTGACGACTTTGTCCTAAGACACATCTGTTCTTGGAGTATGGCAGAATGTTGTCTCATCATTGGGGACTTCAACGCACCGCATATCAACTGGATAGAGCCCACAGCTCCAGGTAGTGGTTTCGATAACGACCTTTTATCTACCGTTATTCAGTGTGCACTTGTACAATGTATCACAAAACCGACACATATTGATTTGCAACATGATCCGTCACTCCTGGACCTCGCCCTCACCCACCACTGTGAGGATGTCTTTGATATCCAGCACCTTCCTACACTAGTGAACAGTGGTCACGTTGTAATTCACTTTTAGTTTAGGACACATGGTATACAATCCGTATCTGCTCCACCCCGTCCCAATATCTAGCGAGCTAATATTCCGGAAATCAGAAACTGTGCTATCTCGACTGATTGGTCGGTGGACGCGGATGGATTGATCGAAGATGAATGGAATAAGTTTAAGGCTACATTCGAGTCCGTAACGTCGCCGTTTATCCCATGGTCAGCAAGTAAGCTATCACATTGCCCTCCATGGATTAATAAGGAAACCCGGAAGCTGTTAAAGCGTAGGAAACATTTCTGGGACTTATTCTTGTTGACAGGTCATGCACCATTTAAGCGTGAGTACCAAAAATACCGTAATATCTGCAAGAAAACCATAGCGAAATGCCGTACCACTTACGAACGACAGTTATTATATGATCGCCGTACTTGTCCGAAACGATTGTTTTCGTATGTTAAACGGCAAATGAAACGTAGTGATGGTATTCCTCCGTTACTGTTACAAGAAAATTCAGAATTACTAGCTGAATCAGATCGAGCAAAAGCTGAGACTTTTTCAGACTATTTTAGCGAAGTCTTCTCTACGTTCATTGTAACAAATACTTGTCCCACTCACACTGAGATACCAACCATTGAATCTGTACAAGTGACTGAGGAAACTGTCCTTCCGTTGATAACTAACCTCAAACCTGGTAAGATACCGGGCCCTGACGGGTTACATCCACGGTTGCTGTCATCTCTTGCTGACATTATTTCAAAACCGCTTGCGACACACTTCAACATGTCCCTCTCACTCGCTCAACTCCCTAGAGATTGGAAGGACGCTATAGTTAGTCCTATATTTAAGGACGGTCAGCGACAGATAGTATCTAACTACCGGCCTGTCAGTCTAACTAGCATAGTCGTTAAGTTACTTGAAAAGATAATTCGGGTTAGGTTGCTAAGCCACATAGATTTACACAATCTGTTAGCTCCTGAGTAACACGGATTTCGTAACAAGCGTTCATGCTTGACTAACTTGCTTATTGCGAGGGAGGATTGGACAGCAGCCCTAGATAACGGTCTGTCTGTCGATGTGATATTCATAGATTTTAGCAAAGCATTTGACAAGGTTTCAAACGTAGGTCTTATGCAGAAGCTCACGAGCTTCGGAATAATAGGTACTGTACATAAGTGGATAGGAAATTTCTTGTGACCGCAGACAGAGAGTTAGGGTCAACGGAACGCTATCCGATTGGAAGCCGATCAAAAGTGGTGTACCCCAAGGCACCATCTTAGGCCCTCTGCTCTTCCTTCTCTACGTTAATGAGTTGCCGCTGTTACTTAGGTCGTCGACATTATTGTTTGCGGATGATGTAAAAATCTGGAGAACAATAAAAAGTGCGGCTGATCATGTGGATCTTCAAGCTGACTTAGACGATTTAGTTAGATGGGCTCGAAAGTGGGGCTTAGAAATCAATGCTAGGAAGAGTGTACTAATGCACATCGGTCACGGTAATAGTTACCGTTACACCATTGAGGGTAAACCTCTTCCATGCGTTCAAGAGCATAAAGACTTAGGAGTAATATTAAGTCATGATTTAAAAACAACTACGCATTGCAAAGCAGCCGCTGTCAAAGGTTTTCGTGCGTTATGGTCACTTCGCCGAGCGTTCAAATCTTTTGACGAGGAAACGTTTCGAATTTTATATCCCATATACGTTAGACCACATTTAGAGTACTGTATCCAAGCAGCTAGCCCGTGTCTGGTAAAGGATACTAACTCCCTTGAGCGTGTCCAACGTGTGGGAACGAAATTAGTGAAGGGTCTTTCTAGACTCCCTTACGATGAGCGTTTAAAACGCCTAAATCTTTTCCCCTTGTCGTATCGTAGGACACGAGGTGACCTTATACTGGCATTTCGTATCTTTAATTAGGATTTGGGTGTTAATATGTCTTATCTTTTTGCTCCCTCCAGCACTAATAATCTCCGAGGTCATAGCAAGAAGGTTCATAAACCACGATCTAATAAACTTAAAGAGGGGTCCCGTTTTTCTCATCGAGTAGTCAATGATTGGAACGCCTTACCCGAACAAGTGGTATCAGCCCCATCAGTGAATACTTTCAAGGAAAAGCTGGACCTTCACTGGAAAGCAATGTTTCAGGATTTACCCAGGTTCATCAACCTACTATCCTTATTACTGAAGACTGAAGACAATCAAATGTAAGATAACAGGTCGCGGACTTTAGCTCGAAGCTCATTCATCCATTTAGCCAAATATATTTTTGACGTTATGGCTGATGTTAATTCGTGACGAAAACCTTATATCTCATTACTAACCCTAACCATCAACTGTAAATGATGATTTTAATTAATCGCGCTAGTTTATAACCCTCATTTGGTACCAGTTGTGCGGTGGTCACTCAAGGTCACTTCAGCGTCACCCAATGGTCGTCCATGAAGTATAGTCTCAACAATCTTCTCTATAGCAGGGCGACGAAAAGTAAATGAACTGGAAGTAGAACAAATCCTGATCAAACTGGACTTCAAAAATGACGTATGAGACTATTTTGTAAAGAACCTCTCCCTTTACTTACAGGACCGCGTTATTCGATTTTTGGAGAATGTATGCATGTTTAAAAACATTGCATGCAGTTTTGCTTGCACGTTGTGTTCTTCCTCCGCTCAGATTCAGTGATCCTGATTTGTATGCTATTGTTTTGGATCTCTTATTCTTCCAAATCAACACCGGTATCATGTGTTACAGCTTTGCCTCAATGTGTCTACAAATTAACCCTTTAGTTACACATCTTCCCAAAATTGTCTACTTCCTGGGAAAAAGGTGTACATTTCATATAATTCTCTGTTTAAAATCGACCCCTCTTCCCCAGCGTTTTCCAAAATATTTTCTGGAATGACTCGTTTTCGAAGTTAGGTGAACATTGGTGCAACAACATTGTTTCATCCATATCCAGGAATTACTTTTCATTCTTCAAAGTGTGAAGAAGTTCATCTGAGACATGTCTCAAACCTCATATACAATTTAGGGGATTACCCCTTAGATGTGCTCCAGGTTGAGAAGCTTGGAGTCTTGATATTTTGTTATATGAATGTTGAGCTATGACGAAAGTGCTTTTAGAACTTGTATTTAGTTTCTATCAGTCTTGTCCACTGTTATTTAGAGTACGGAATTTCAGTATTTCCTCCGAAGGAATAAGAGTACCCTAAAACATTTATTTATTTGAACACATATTGGTACCAAGGGTCGCCGAATACATATGCGCTACACAAGTCACTTGGTTTTGCGGTATCCTAAACAAACTTGAATACCTTCTTGATTATCTGAGGTTAATTTCCAACAAAAACCTTAGAGGCAATACCCTGGAATTAAAAGTACAACATATGAAACGACTGTAGGCACACCCACTTTTTGTGAGTAATCGAGTCCTGGAATTAGCTTCCAGCTGAGATGGTCTCAACAACTTCCCAAGAGTCCTTTAAGAAGAAAGTTGATGTATACCTATAGACTCAGAACAACATTTCATTATAACTTACTAATGTATCTGTCTTGTTTGTTTAATATACTTAGTTGATTCCTGAAGGTATTGGTGATACACTGCTACTAGGTACTGAAGCGTGTTAAGTAAAATCTAACCTTTCCACAACCATCTGGATTCAATGATCAAGTGTACTATCTAAATATCCATTTAATAATAGTAACCCTATTGCGTTAATAGCCCGTTTCATCAGTATGATAGCTCATCAATATCTTCCTCTGCGTCTTCGTCTACTATAAGGTTCATTTTTAAAATTTATCCATCTATTGCCCCTGTAACCTGTCGCGGTAGCTTACTATTATAGTCTCAACTCTTCATGGCTCATCGGTCTTGGTTGTAAGGTGTTGTTACACAATCCAAAACTTAAAACGACCCTTCAAAAATGAGCGATCCGGTCATGGTGTTTAAAAATATCGGTTCCTAATGTTATTCTAAGTGGTTCTACACTTAAAATCCTTTTCCGCGAAACTATTGCTCTATGTTGTTAACTTAGGGTACCGTATTCTTCTGCAAACAACCATATTTAGTGGTGACTTACTATTAATCAATCAGCGTCTATCAATAGTTTTTGTGTGTAAAAACTAGATAGTATATAAATTAGCTTAAACTGTACTGGAAGCGAGTTGGTGGGTAGATAACTGGAGTTGCATCAACTCATTACCACATTTCCCACGTACTTGAGGTGCTTAAGGTACTATCTGAAGGTCTTTTTATCTGTATAGTCTCTATCCTTAAAAAGAAATTACTCGTGGTAGCTTTTTTTATAAAGCGAGACCTGATTGTACTTTATTCTGCAAGTATTTGTTCTAATTTTTATTAGTTTTTATCATCTAAATCCTGATAACCCACATTAGTTTTGTTTTCCAGATTCTACTTAGTTAGAAACTATCTAATGCAATCAAGCTGATTTACATACTGTTACTTCTCAGGAATATTCTAATGCATAATGCCTTTTGCATCATTCAAGAATGTCCAAAAACGACTCTCCAAAATTCATAAAGAACGTTCTCAAGTATGCCTTTTTAGCCCTTTCGAAATATTTCTTTTTCTTTAGCCTCAACGTAGACACCATCTTGGAATACTACCGAAAAAACAGGATTTCCGTTTAAGAGCCAAGTGAGGTTGAATTACATATTTCACTTTGATGTTTCAGGGATAAGGAATCAAAAAGTGCTAAAATAAAAGAGTTAAGAAGTAAAGCTTTAGATAAAAACACAGATGAATTTTACTTCAATATGTGTAATTCTCGTTTTGATGTGAGTTGCTATCTACATGAAGCCTAATTTTATTGTTTTTTATTTAGATGGAAAAAGGGCATATTCCGTTAGATGTAGAGAAAAGTTATTTAGACTCTGATATTAAGTCATCATTTTATAAAAACGTTACGCACCTACAATATGAATTACAAAAAGAAAAGTCTAAGATACATCAACTTGAGTCGAAGACTCATTTACTGCAAAGTGAATCACAAAATCCCTGTTCAAGGAAGACTCCCAAACATATTGTATTTGCGGAAACCTATGGTGAAATGGTTGAACTACACCACAAATACGCGGAGAAAGTACAAGTGGATGAAACTATTTTTGACAAAGTGTCTTCCAGTGACCTCTCTTATGAAGACATTTATTCTCAACGTTTTAATGCTTACAAGGAATTATCTGAACATCTAGAAAGAGCCAAACAGTTGAAATATCTTTTACGTCAGCACGAAGCTAAGAAAAGTCTTATGGTATGTTCCTATTCAAGACATATTTATTAGTTGATATTTGAACCAGTACTTATTGTATTCCTTAGTTCCTACTGTATAAATGACCTCAGTTGTTTGACATCCGTAGGTTAATTGGGTGATATTTGAAATTATGTGGTAACTATTAGACTAAAAATTTAAGATTAGTTAAAATTATTTTAGACTAAACAAATAAATTTCTATCTTTGAATTAATTTTAAAGTAAACTAATGCACAGATCTTTTTAGGGGGGCCAGCACGCGTGCATGTAGTTTAGCTTGGATTCAACTTTGTATAATATATGGAGGACTAATAAGATGCATATAGATAACACATTCGTCATCACTAAAAAAAGTCAGCTGGTAATTACTTACGATTTGGCCAACAACGCCTATAGTGACGTAAGATTTAAGCTAGAAACGAATTTAGACAATAAATTACCATTCTTAAGTCTGTTGATCACCAAAATTAGTGCTAACAAACTCGAGTAAATTGTAAACGAACTCACATTAATCAAATTGTGGATTACGTCAGCAAAAACTTAAGGACTTATAAATTAATCTGTGTACAAACTGTTCAAAAGGCAAAAATGTACTGAAACACTTTGCAGAAAGATGATATGAAATACCCAATCGATGCATGTCAGAAGAATAGCCACCTACACGATTTAATCAAGAAATCCATATCAATCCCATCGCCGCGTAAAACAATCAGCAAACGTATAGTCCTTCCGCACATGAGAACGCCTATGTTAAAATAGGCAAATTACTAAGCTCGCAAAATCCCGATGTTCAATATTAAGCAAGCCAAAGAACACAATGGCAAAAAATAAACGAAACACTCTTCCATGATCTGCGAGGATACTATGGGACAAACTGGCCTTCCTGTTCACCTGCCTGTACGTAAATGCCAACAAGCTGTCAAATGTTACGACATATCTTCGCTGATATCAATGGATGTGAGCGATTCTGAACACGAAGCTGATCGGGAAAGCGAAAATATAGATAAGTGAAACAATCCCATGATTCTCAGGTTATTCATCAATTAATGGATATATCGACATTGCCCGAACGTTATTGCTACCTTGACGTGGTGTTCGGGCTTGCCTATCGTGATAAACCAATCGAGCTATACTGGCTGAAACAATCTTTCCTCAAGGTCCTACCATGCCAGACAGGTTGGTTGAAGAGCGGTAAGAATAAAAACAGCAAACTGAAGGTGCGTTCCGTTCTACTGTACGGCCGCAAAACATGGCCATTTAGAGTAAAAGATACTCGTAATCTATTAGTATTTGACCACAGATGCCTTAGAAATATTGCTCACATCTGCTGGGATCACTGGGTAAGTAATAGTGAGGTTAGACGCAAGGTATTAGGAAGTGATGGTAAATCAGTTGATGAGGTTGTGGATCTTCATCGACTGAGATGGTTGCGCCACGTACCATACATGCCCGACTACCACAACGCACAATGCTGACTAGTGTTGTGAACAGTTGGAATAAAGTTAGGGGCGGCCAAACCAAAACATGGCATCAGTGCTCGAAGTCACTAACTTCTCGTCTTAGCCGTGTCGTTAGATGCAGAATACTTGGTAGGGGTCCGCGTGACTATCGTAACCAATGGTTGGAGACTCTTGTTGACATGGCTCAGAATCGATCACAATGGCGTCGGTGTAAACACTTTTTGTCTTCTTTTAAATTATGAGATTAGAATCACTTCATTTCTTTCTTCCTGTATTATATCCTTATTGCAATCTTTCTTTTATATATTACTACCATTGAAGTAACTTTCTATGAAGTTTGTGTTCATCTTGTGCTAATGAGGCATGGGGTCTTGGACCGATGCACATATGTGCCTGGTCTTGCGTTGTAGTTGACTGACTGACTGATATCGAAATTGACTCAATCTGTCAGGAAAAATAACTGCAACGTTGGAAATCAGACTGACAACCAAAATAAATCTCCAAGCAAAGACAGCAACTGATCGAATTTCACGTCAACAAAACAGGCTTTTATTCAAGTGTGGATAAATCCCAGTGCCTCACTTGTTTCGAACTATGTACTCAGGATGTTGTGCAGCTCAGAGAACATAACACCTCCGAAATGACATAGTTGTACCTGTAGAACTACTAAATCTTGAGCCCCCCATACAATCAGACAATGATGCTGTTTCTCCTTAATCTGTTCATTCTGATTCCTCCATTTCCATTATTTTTAGCTACATTTCCAGTGTTTGGTTTGCTATCACGATTTATATAAAAATCAATTGTTGAGTCAATTGAGGCTAGACGTGGGAGCACTGATAATAATCAACATATGCTCACCAGTGACTGGCTTCAAGATGTGTATCCTGGAGTTCTAGCGAGAAGTAGTGACCAGAGGAGTTCAACCGGGTCAGTTGTGAGACAGTAACTCACTGACAATGGTGGATGTGTCGCTCAGTTTCGTAGATTAGTTGAAGTTAGACATTAGCGCCATTGGATGCCGGCTCAGTGGTCCAGTGGTTAAGTGCTGGAGCGCGAGACCAGTAGGTCATGGCTTCGAGTCCCGCGAGGCGGGATCGTGGATGCGCACTGCTGACGAGTCCAACAGTAGGACGAAACGGCCGTCCAGTGCTTCCAGGTTTTCCATGGTAGTCTTGCTTCAATTGACTCATGATCTCAACAATTGAAATTACCAAAATCTCCACAAAACCCCCTTATATAAATATCTAGACATTTTCGCCTGTTTCTTTAATTCCGTTTGAAGCCCTTAAGGAATAACACCGGTCTTAACGTCGAATAAAGAAAGTGGGTTGGGTGTAGTGTTGAATACATCGTAACAATGAATCTTATCAAAAAAGAGTGATCAATTCAACCGCTGAAACTTAACCCTGGTAGTTGAGGTGTCTTTATACAGAAGTTATGGTGGAAGGCGCAATTTTTCGAAAGGCAAATGTCCCTTCTAACAACCAGAATATGGAATGACTGGATAATATGGAAACTCGAAAAAGTCAATTCAGTAGTGGTGAAAATGCGAATATACAGCCTGATCGTGTTTGGAACAAGTGAAACAAACTAGAAACAACGTAGACAAAAGGACTAACTTCTGGATGATATTGTTGCATTGTGCTCATGGCGAAGAAAATGACTAAAAGAAACACGATGTTATTTAAAGGAGAACGAAGCGCGCTTATTTATTTGAAAACTCAGCTCCAGGACTATCAAAGCATCCTTCAAAACAAAGAAAACAAGGATAACAATAAGTGTGATGCAGTGTTGTGCACCTACTGATAATGAGATCCAAGGCGAGAAAGATTAGCTATGTGATCATGCAGGCCATCCTAGAGAGGGCAGCAAAGCGACCAGACAACTCAGTAATGACAAAGCAACATACCGAGTGAAGCACTGAATCTAATCAGAGGTGGTTACAAACATGCTCTACGTTCGCTTTGAAAAGATTTGGGAGGGACAATTAATACTAACAAACTGGAAGCAGGGATAGCTCATGAAAATACTGAAGAAAAGGAGTTTTAGTAAGTGTGAGGACTACAGGTTGAACTTTGTCGTTTATAAACCGAATGGAGACTGCGAATAACTGTCGAACAACCAATTAAACGGAAATCATCGCTATACATCAACTGGTTATGAGAAGACGTTCGACAGCGTGCATAGGTGAACCGTTTGGAATCATCTCATCTTGTAAGCTATTTTTGGAGAGTATTAGTGCAACTCTTTGTGTATGCGAGGCGTTTTCTTCTTTGTGACCATAAGACAACGCGATCTCCCTTGGAGCTAGTCTTTTCTGTTGGGCTTATGTACAACGGGTTTCATTTATTTGAAGCACTGTGTTATAACTCTGTGGTTTCTTACGGTTAATGACCCAGCTATTCCTATTGCTTAGTATTCTCGGACACCGATTCACTCGACAAGTCCCCAAATCAGAACACGGTTGAACAGGGAAAAGATTATATTCCAAATAGCAAGTCAGAAGCCAGTAGGAAGCACAATAGGGGAAAACGTCGGTATATTTATAGTTTTTACATAAGAAGAATCCAGAATATTCTCCAACTATCGACTAGCGCTGATTGGATAAGAATTAGCCAATCAGCGTGCACCAAAGCAATCATGCATTGAGCATGCTTTAGTCTAGTCTATGCCCCGCTAACACCTCCCCTCTGAGCAGATTCGTAGGATCTGGTGCTAGGGTCCAACTGCAACTGAGTGACTGGCTTGTGCTTTCGATTAGTCCATCGTCTAGGCAATGAAGAATTATCACTTTTTCCTTGCACAGAGACTGACATGTCTGTTCCCGGCGTTTTGATTTTTCTTAAAAAAAAGTATGCATAACTTCTAATTCTCCAACATTCTCCTCCTCCTCGAAATAATGTTGGGTCCTTATGGCTCCAAATTATAACTAGTAGGACTTTATTTAAACCATGTTTCTCGTATTGACTGGAGAATCCACTAAAAATGACTAGATGATGATGAACAACCTTTGATCTGAGTTCATTATTTTCAAATTCATTATGAATCTCGTTAGCTGATAACGAGTCATTAAGAAAGTCAACGTCTAACAGAATTAGATTAGATTTTTGGCCATCATTCGACTCAGCTGACATATTTCCCTCATTGTTATAAGAAGGTTCATCAAAATCATATGCATTATTCTGAGAATCAATATCTGGTACACTGTCATTAGAAATGGGATAAGTTGACTCAATATAAAATTCTGTCTTCCGGTGATTTTGAGTAACATCTGGTACTATTTGGTTCATCGTGTTGCTCCAGTTATTTTCTGAATACGAGTCACCATAGCTTTCTCGACTAATAGCACGTGGACCACAATTTTGTTCGAGCTGACGTTTATTTTCGCAGCTAGACAGTACCAGTAGTGTTTCATTTGATTCTGGACTCCGGGCTTCATCTACAGGACCTGACTCCTGATCATCTGGTATTGTCACAACTTCATGTGCATTCAGCACAGTATTTTCTTGCTGTGAGCCGGACACGTTACAAATATTACGTTCTGATTCAGGTATAAAGGGATTTGAACCCTCCACTAGATATGCTTCTGAAATGTCTGTTACTGCATCATAAACAGATTTATTTTCTGGTCGAGTGAAAAGTGTGTTCAATAGTTGTTGTTGCAAGGCTAACAACTTCTGCTGGTGCTGTAATATTAACCGCAACTGTTCTAAAGAAATCGCCATTTTTCTTTAGTTTTTCCCCGTCGCCACTGTTATAATTCTATTTTCTTACGGTTAATGACCCAGCTATTCCTATTGCTTAGTATTCTCGGACACCGATTCACTCGACAAGTCCCCAAATCAGAACACGGTTGAACAGGGAAAAGATTATATTCCAAATAGCAAGTCAGAAGCCAGTAGGAAGCACAATAGGGGAAAACGTCGGTATATTTATAGTTTTTACATAAGAAGAATCCAGAATATTCTCCAACTATCGACTAGCGCTGATTGGATAAGAATTAGCCAATCAGCGTGCACCAAAGCAATCATGCATTGAGCATGCTTTAGTCTAGTCTATGCCCCGCTAACACACTGCCAGTTTGTATCTTCTCATCTCCACAGCTATTTAAATGGTCCTCCCAGCCTTCTATATTGTGTGACACTCCGCATAATTATACATTATTCTGATCGCTAGAAACGGGGTCGGCCTCATGTTTTCCGAGATCATGGCTTTCACTATGAGGGTTCATAAATCATTTATATAAAAATCCTTCAATTGTCAGGACAATGTTTAAATGTTTTAAGTAAATTTTCTGGTTGGCGTATCTTATCAAGGTTCTTTACTACGGGATAAACTTGCTTAGTCTATGATCAACCCTTATTTATCCAGGTTTGGGACTGGTAGTCATCCTAGAAGGGTACATTCCGGAATAACGGGTATAATAATATGAAGGCAAAAGTATTCCTCAAGGTAATACAATTAAGAAGAAAAAACACTAAAAACGAACTGAAACAAAAATCTACAAATTGCTTTTCACATTATCATAAGTACCACTAACGTTACTGATTCCTGTTCTGTTATATTACAAACACCAACGACCGATACTATGTCTTCACTCAACTCGAAAAAAATAACATGAGGCTTCGCGGAACAATATCTTATTTGTTTAAACTGTCAAGATAAGCTTGTGTCTCAGTGTACCTAAATCCATATGCAAAAAACCGATATGGTGGATCTAGCCGAATTCAAAGTTCTTTTTTACCTATCTATAAAAGTAAATATTTCTTTAATCGAACCTTACCATCTGAAGTGTAATTTCTTTTCTACTAGGCAAATTTAACCAAAAGAGCGTACAAAACCGTATTCAAAGGAAGTAAGACGGCGCCTCCCGTTTATGAATTTGAACCTGTCCGGGATCGATGAACATTTGAATTTGTTTATAGTCATCTAATTTGTACATTTCATTGTCTCTGATGTATGTCCAGGAACATCTAAAGAGTTTCACCATATGACTTAGTGTTTTCTACTTAATCAGCAGTAGTTTGCTCACCTGGTATCTTGTTCGTGTTTAGTCCCGTCACAAACTGTTGTAACGAAGGGAATTCTACACGATGCATATATGTGCCTGGTCCTCCATTGTAGCTGACTGACTACACAAATGGTGTAAGTTTTATGGTCGTTTTGAATGAACCGTGGTCAAAGTTTAGCTACTCACAACAACTGATTTACCCATACAATGCCTTAATGGAATTTTCAGATCTTATTGCTCATAAATAGTGGTAAAACTGGGCACTAAAATAATTATGGGCCACGAAAATGAAAAAATAAGATTGTTAATAGATAGAAGAGTCGAGGGAACTAAAATCAAAAATAGATGTATACGTAAAATTAAGAGAAAGAGAATATTATGTAACAGAAGTCACAGTTCTGTTACGAATGGAACGAGAAAGGATTTTCACTTAAGTATGTCCCTCCCGCTTCTGTATGCATGTATAAAAACCACACCAGGACAACCACTATCTCTTGTTCTGATCCATTTCTGATAATATCTCAACGCATTAGGTTGCACCAGGAAGTCGCTATGAACCTGTAGGTGTTATTCCTGTACATCTTTTCACATTACTGCTTTGAGTCATAACCCGACCATCTCTCTGCTTTTCCCATCGAATGTCGGCAAACAATATTTGATGTCGACATTAATAATATATTTCCAAGTCACAAGGCGGTGTTTCAACATGGTGACACCAGTTGAGTTGTCACTGTAACTAAACGTACATCCGAACCTTACAGATTACTGGTGTCACTGGATGTCATAAATCCCTCGGAGACAACGATGATAGCGTTGCTGAAAATCCTCGACTCAGAGAGGCCAGACTTCACAAAAATGTAGCAGAACTGCTCTGATCAGCATTTTGCAGCCAGACTAAGATCACGACGGCCATAAAGATGACTCAGATTAACAAAAGGCTAGACTCACCTGTCGCGCCATTACAATCTCTCATAAAAGTAAGCAGGTAGATTGATTTCCCGACCACTCTAAACAGCTCACTACTGAGAGTCAGTATAAACATGCTTCTACCAGTCTTAAAGAAGTAATTTAGAAGGCGCAAAATACATTCCACAATTATGGACATCAATTAATTAGATTGGATCTGGATGGACTGTGTACATACCGTTCAGTTTGCTAATAAAATCCTTACACACACCTGTACTGTGAAGCGAAAGCGACTATAATATCAAGGAACAACGGTCTCTGGTCTGCAATCATCGTGTAGGTGCTCTAATATTGGGCAAAATATAGTGCGATAAACGTATCCACAAGCTTATTGAAAACAATCCTGCTTCCCACAGATTTTAGAAAATTGTTCAATGTGAGAGAATGCAATAGATTTACCCCCTGATACTTGTATGATTTATGTAGGTCCTTTATGAATATATGGGTAAAGGTCCCTTCACTTTGGGATGTTGGAAAAATCTCTGTTCTACAAGCATTTGTAATCACCTTTGTCGGCTCTCTGATCAAACGTTTGCCTCATTCGTGTATCAAAAGATAACTTAACTAGACTGTAGAAACGAGTCATTTTGTACAATAATAGAAGACAACTATGCGTAAAAATGATTGAGACGCAATGTCTGTATGACCAATGAATATGGGTTTTTTTTAGGTCGGTAAACAACCTGCCAAACTAAGCGCTGATTGTCGGGATTGCTTATTACTGGTTATCTTAATCCAATTAATTCAAACCTTAATAACGAACCTAGTCGTCCAGGATGGAGTGACTTAACAAGCGACTGATGCTGTGTTGGAAAATCAACACTCGCCTAGCTGACCCGTCATACAAATGTTCCTATGAATATAAATATGATACTATCCGGAGTTACGTCATTAAAAAAATAACATTTAATGTTCACCGCTATTAAAAGGTTTCTATATATACTGGATGTGAGAAATAAAGTTTGATGGGAGATTTTTTGGTTATGTGTTGAGTCTTGGAGTGTAGTTCCACAGTCCGAGATCTTCATGTGGCCTAAATCACAAGGTTTTTTCTCAAAGGTTCTCAGTATGTCAATAAGAAAGCGGCACGACTTAAGTCAGTAGCTGACTGCGCTAAAAGGGGTATGCACTTTACTTATAGCATCAGCCACAACCATTATTATTTACAGCTTAATTGCGCAGTCGGTGAAAGTGTCCTACCAATCCGTTTGCTTTTGGGTAGTTGTCGGTCGTTCGGAATCTTGTGGCTCCTGATAATGTGGTTAGGCGACGGAAAAGTCCAGATTCAAACTAGCGTCCACGGTGATATTTTAAGAGTAATCGAAGTTTGCTACCCACAGTTCGACAAAGGTGTGGGCCACTGCTTCAACAGTAATGTGCTTGATGGGTACTGCTTCTGGCCATCGAGTGAAATGGTCTACAAGTTAAGAGATAAGATAATCCATTTGAATCTGGTAAGTGTCCTAACGAATTCAGATGAACGTGATCGAGACGAGCATCAGTACTTTTGAATGAGTCGAAGGGACATTTGTTGTGTCTGACCACCTTAGATTTCTGGCAGCTTACACAGAAGCGTGTGTGTAGAAACTTCGAGATGCTTATTATTAAATTGCCGGGCTTGTGCGTGATATCTGTAGAAAATCGTTGAGAAGTATTGCGATAAAACGAGAGTTTTCGGATAATTCCACCGGAATTGCAGAAAATCCTGGGGAGATATAGAGGAAATCTCCAAATTTTTGGTGAAATATTGTAGGAAAACGAAGTTTTGGGGAAAATGCGAGATTGTGGGGTTTGATCAATAAATATAGACGGATTTTCCCAAAATGTATCAAGACTCTGGTGGAAACTTCGGTAAATATTGGAGAATTTCTCAATATCTGTGGAAATGGCACCAACGTTGGTGCAACTAATTGAAGACGTTGCGTCGATTGGACGATCCTCAATTGTTGATATATCGCATAGTAAAGTTTCCTTACTTGTTTCTATCTGTTTAATACACAGTTCTAAAGTTGTCGAAGATAACTTGTGCTGAAGATCAATGTCTTCTTTTCGAAGCTATGCGAGCTTAAGAAGGTCGATACCTTGGAAACTGTTCAAGGAACTAAAACGAAACAAAAACACTTGTAACTGGATTGTTTGCCCCCACATGTGTATTGTGTATCCAAAGTAAACTGCGAAGTATGTATAGAGACCGAACGGCATGATGATAGCGGTTTTAGGAATGTCAGCAGCAGTCATGGAAATTTGATCACATGTTTTATCCAAGTCGATTTAGGAAGAAAACGGCTGTACATTTCATGGTAGCTGTCAAATCGCGAATGCGAGGCGATGGGTTACGATTAGGAATGGTTTTCTCATTCAGTCGCCGTTATTCATCAAATAGACGCAAGTCGTTTCTGTAGTTTTTAGAGACCACGTGCAACGGAGACGCCTATGGGCTGTTTGGTGACCGAATGATTCCTAAAACTGTCATGTGATCGAACTCGTTACCAGCTATTCGGGAGCTGGTTGGCAAGCCTTCGAGAATGCAGGTGACTCTGTAGTCGTGATGTGATGTGTAACGTTTCTAGTTGCACGTGGCAGTTTTGGTCGCGTTTGGTATAGCTGAGGGTACTTATCGAGAATATGCTGGAAGTGCGGATCGATCGTGTGCTTTACTATGACTGGGTATAATCTACAATCGGAAAAAGAAATTACACAAACGAATACATCAGTGTTTCTGTCTACTAGCCTCCGTTTGCGTGTGACGATGTGTAAAATATGGTGTTGTTGTAGGTTTATACCAAAGATTGGCACAGGAACATCTGCAGTGACGAAGATCCAGTGAATAGGTTTGCGTAAATCCATGTTGAAGCACACATATCGCTTACCATATTCGGTGATCGGTTGCCCATTTACCGACTGTAAGTTGAAAACTGCTTCGGTCAGTCGGTCGCTGGAACTCGCAGGATGTGCAAGTGTCGATGAGGTAGAGAGCTTTCATCACCACATCAGTGATGCATAATAGACGACTATGTTCTCTGGCTACGGTTTCCGTTGACGCGTGCCTCCTGGGAAGTTTTCGTGAAGATCTTCCTCGGAGAATTCGGGAGCGTCTACGGTTGTGACGAATAGTAAGACAGCGTGACAGAGTATAACAGAGATCTGTGGCGGCGTTTCGTGTCATTTTAGGTTTTTCTTTGACTGAATGGATCTCGAGGTTGAGAGTTCTGGATATTCCCAGAATTCGACTGACAGACGCAGACTACAACTACTTGCACCTGTCGGTGAAGCTAAGACAAGAAAAGCCATCAAAGCGGACCCAATGACTAATTATTCCTCGTATTCGTAGCCATATATCTGTTGCTACGTTATGTTGTACATCGATGTTGTTGAAGAGTTGATCTTACTTTACTTAACTGGTTAGATCTCCGAGTCTGAGAATAGCCTTTTTTAGAAAGCGTGAGGTTTGGAAAATTCGCCAGTAAGCACAATAGATGTTTTGTGGATGTTATTGTAGTTTAATTTAGTAGTTGAGTTCATTAATCAATTGAAGTTAGATTTTAAACTGGCTTCCAGGTTTTCCTTGGTGGTCTTGCTTCAAATGACTCGTGATTTCACCCATTAAATTAAATTACTATAATATCCACAAAAAACCCCTTTCTGATAATAATAATATGCTCACTGAATACTGACTTCAATAGTTATTTTCTTGGAGTTCTGGTGCGAAAGCGTGATCAGTGGGGTTCAACCAGGTCTGTTATGAGATGATTACTTACTGAAGACAGTGTTGGGTGGTTGCGAAATTTCGTGCTGTTGAAGTCAGATATTAACACCGTTGGATGCCGGCTCAGTGGTCTAGGGGTTAAGCGTTCGCGGTGTCCTGTAGGTCTTGGTTTCGAATAATCGTTGCGCGCTGTTGAGGAGTACCATACTTATACAAAACAGTAGCCCAGTGCTTCAGGTTTTCCATGGTGGTCTAGCTCCAACTGACTCATGAACTCAACAATTAAATTGAATACCGGTAGTGACGCACCT